GTCTTGCTGATTCCGTTCTCTCTCTCTCTCTCTCTCTCTCTCTCTCTCTCTCTCTCTCTCTCTCTCTCTCTCTCTCTCTCTCTCTCTCTCTCTCTCTCTCTCTCTCTCTGTCTGTCTGTCTGTCTGTCTGTCTGTCTGTCTGTCTCTCTCTCCTCTCTCTCTCTCTCTCTCTCTCTCTCTCTCTCTCTCTCTTACACAGGGTTTGACAAGGTTAAGGATCCCTAGCTTTATTGACAAGCTATTTACAGGTTAAGGATTCCTAACTTTATTGACAAGCTAAGAGCTGTTACCTACATCAGCTCATTTGAAAACATTTTTATTGTTATGAGACATATAAGTAGGGAACAGGATGAAGTTGGAGCCATCTGTGGGCCAGCATTTTCATTTGATCAACTGACTTTATCTCGTTGACATCATTATGCTGTAGGAATGTGTTCCATACTCGAGTCATCCTGGGTATGTATGATCTCAGATGAAGTGATGTTCTGGAGAAGGGTACAACCAGAGTGAAGTTGCTCTCTCTCTCTCTCTCTCTCTCTCTCTCTCTCTCTCTCTCTCTCTCTCTCTCTCTCTCTCTCTCTCTCTCTCTCTCTCTCTCTCTCTCTCTCTCTCTCTCTCTCTCTCTCCCTCTCTCTCTCTCTCTCTCCTCCCTGGCTGATGCCACAATATTTAGGAAAATCAATCATTGGTATTTTTATAAACAATTCATTTCATTATACTTCACACTGACAATCTTCAGAATTATCACTTAATTTACTTAAAACTCACAGATAAAAGTCTTACACAATAATAGTAAATACACCGAAAGGCGTATATACGATGTATATTGAATGAGATTTAGTGTATATACAATGAGATTTTACTTTAATTTCTATGTTAATGATTACAGTAAACTGAAGATGAATAAGGGAAATGAAGCCCAAATTGCAATTATCAATGTGGAGTCGATAGACTTGAAACCTAACAAACCAGTGAACCGTTATGAATATGGCACTTCTTCTGATGACCTTTGAATTACATTATTTTATTAGCTTAGTTTTGCAAATTTATGCCGACGATTTTCGCCAGTAGCTTCCTCAGTCCAGTACAGAGATAAATGGTGGAAGATAAGAAGGAGCTTGAGGAAATCAGTCCCTCTGCCTGGAGTCGATGTGTTTAGTCCGTCAATCTTGATAAAATTATAGTATATGCGCGAAGAGTCTTGTACACGGCAGACAGGTGAGGTGAAGCAGTCGGAGGCGGCGTCACAAGTGGAAAAATTCCACAGGGAATTGAACGTTTGCCTGGAGCTTACCTGGAGTTTACCTGGAATTTATCTGGAGAGGGTTTCGGGGGTCAACGCCCCCGCTGCCCGGTCAGAGACCAGGTCTCATGGTGGATCAGAGTCTGTTCAACCAGGCTGTTACTGCTGGCCTCACAAAAACTGACGTACGAACCACAGCCCGGTTGGTCAGGTACTGACTTTAGGTGCCTGTCCAGTGCCTTCTTGAAGACAGCCAGGGGTCTATTGGTAATTGAACAGTCTTGGGCCCTGGACACTTATTATGTTGTCTCTCAGTGTACTCGTGGCACCCCTGCTTTTCATCGGGGGATGTTTGCATCTCCTGCCGAGTCTTTTGCTTTCATATAGAGTGATTTTCGTATGCAGGTTTGGTACCAATCCCTTCAGGACCTACAAAGTGTATATTGTCATGTATCTCTCTCGCCTGCGTTCAAGGGAATACAGATCAAGAACCTTCAACCGTTCTCAGTAATTTAGGTGCTTTATCGCACTTATGTGTGCCGTGAAAGTTCTTTGTACACTCTCCAGGTCTGCAATGTCGCCAGCCTTGAAGGGGGCCGTTAGTGTACAGCAGTATTCCAGCCTAGAGAGCATAATCAATTTAAAGAGAATCATCATGGGCTTGGCATCCCTAGTATTGAAGGTTCTCATTATCCATCTTATCATTTTCCTAGCAGATGAGGTAGATACATTGTTGTGGTCTTTGAAGGTGAGATCCTCTGACATTATCACTCCCAGGTCCTTCACATTACTCTTCCACTCTATTGTATGGCTAGAATTTGTCGTATACCCTGACACATTTTTAATTTCTTCAAGTTTTCCATATCTGAGAAGTTGAAATTTCTCCTCGATGAACTTCATATTGCTTTGAGTGGCCCATTCGAAATTTGGTTGATGTCCGCTTGGAGTCTCGCGGTGTCTTCGATGGAGGTCACTGCCATGGTGATTCGGGTGTCATCCGCAAAGGAAGACACAGAGCTATGGTTTATATCTCTGTCTATGTCAAAAATGAGGATGAGGAATAGAATGGGAGTGAGTACCGTGCCTTGTGGAACAGAGCTTTTTATCATGGCTGCCTGAGACTTTACTCTGTTTACTGTTACTCTTTGTGCTCTATTTGTCAGGAAGTTGTAAATCCATCTACCAACTTTTCCTGTTATTCCTTTATCCCGCATTTTGTGTGCTATGACACCATGGTCACATTTGTTGAAAGCTTTTGCGAAGTCTGTGTACTACATCTGTATTTTGTTTATCTTCTACAGCATCCAGGACCTTGTCATAGTGGTCCAGTAGCTGGGACAGGCAGGAGTGACCTGCTCTAAACCCGTGTTGCCCTGGGCTGTGTACTTGATGGGTATCTAGGTAGTTGGCTATCTTGCTTCATAGAACCCTCTCAAAGATTTTTATGATATGGGATGTTAGTGCTATCGGTCTGTAGTTTTTTGCAAATGCTTTACTGCCAGCTTTGTGGAGTGGGGCTATGTCTGTTGCTTTCAGTGTGTGTGGGATGACCCCTGTGTCCATGCTCCGTCTCCATAAAATGCTGAAGGCACGTGATAGGGACTTCTTGCAATTTTTGATGAACACGGAGTTCCACGAGTCTGTGCCTGGGGCAGAGTGCATGGGCATGTCATTAATTGCCTCTTCAAAATCTTGTGGAGTTAGAATAATAGCAGAGTTTTGGAATGACCAAATTTTGGGTTTCGTTCATAAAGAATTCATTTTTATTGTCGACCCTTAGAGTGGGCAGTGGATCGCTGAACACTGAGTCATACTGGGACTTTAGTATCTCACTCATTTCTTGGCTATCATCTGTGTGTGTCCCATCCCGCCTAAGCAGGGGCCCAATACTGGATGTTGTTTTTCCCTTAGATTTGGCATAAGAGAAGAAGTATTTTGGGTTTTTTCAATTTCCTTTATGGCTTTTAGTTCTTCCTGTGATTCTTGTCTCCTATAAGATTATTTCAGCTTAAGTTCGATATTTGCGATTTCATTGACTAGTGCTTCCCTTCGTATTTCAGATCTATAGGCACGACCTATTTCCACCTGTGGATTTATCCACTGGTGACGCCGCCTCCGACTGCTTCGCCTCACATGCCTGCAGTATTTAAGCCCCTTTGCGCATATACTATATATTTATAAAGACTGTTGAACTAAACACATTGACTCCAGACAGAGGGACTGATTATTCAAACTCCTTCTCATCTTCCATGATTTACCTCTATACTGGACTGAGGAAGCCATGGTTCTCTGAACCATTTATACAACAAATGCCACATTATCTGCTCTTTGTTCCCTACAACTTCACGCATCTTGTCTTTAATATGAAATCTTTGATTTCAGCATTCCCTCCGCATTCTTTTAAAAGTCTATTTAAACAGACATCATTTACCCTTGAAAAGGTCATATTGTAACTCTCGCAGAGATCAGTTAAGAGTCTTTCCTCTCGTCGATCGTGTTTCCCAACACTTCCGTCTATCACCCTCCTTAACCAATACAAATATGAGGGATAGACAGTCCCACTAAATTTTTTCCTCTTATGCTGATGAACAATATAACACTATGTTTCAGCGTGTCGAGCTACAACAACCGGACCTACAGACATACACGTTAAGATGCTACAATATTTGCATCTTCCAGCGAATTGTTTTTTTCTTATACTTTTTTGACCATGTGAAATTCAAAGGTGTTTTACCCTTACAGTGGAAAACTACAGTAGTCCTGTCGTTCCAAAAACCAGGAGCTACAGGACACGATCCATTTCATTATATGTTAGGTTAGGTACGATTTGTCAGGAAACAGGACAAGTGTTTCCTGACTCGGGTCTTAGTCATATGATAATCCGCCTGTGGAGTTTTTGGTCATTTGAACGAGGCCTTCCGCTGTCTTACCGGCCCACTCCTTTAAAAATTAAGGTTATAATCAAACTGCTTTTTCAGTTTAAAACTAAAGTTCTTGCCAGTGGTATCTGCAAATTCTTAGAAAGCTTAATCAGTAAACAGCGTTTTCCCCTCATTAATTTGGTTATTGATAGTTTTGCTGTACCGTCGACCTCTCCTGCTCATAATCGATACATTCATTTGAAACGCCTTCGATAACAAACACTCGGTTACTATTTTCTTTTTCTTTAATCTAAAAATGGTTGATACTACCTGGCCTTACATATTATCTGAAACCCATTTATAATTCCTCAGAGACAGCAGTCTGTCACTTTTCCTCAAAGATTGTTTTTCCATCATCTGCAAATACCATCACTCATGGTGTGAGTATGGGCGGCTTAGATGGCAAAATACGTATAGTTTTTCTCTTCCTTTCTCCTTTTCTACATCTTTCGTCTTTTCATGTTCTTCCTAGTTATTTTTATTCTTTATGATATTAATCATAGTTTTCGTCTTTCGTTCGTATTTTTTAACACATTAAGCACCTATCAGCTAGTAAAGTCGCTTCATGAGTTACAGACCCCCAGCTAGTGAAAACTTGTGGAGGGACCCGTGTGTAAGTTGCCTAAGCTAAAACTCGACAATCTTACTGTAAATATTTACTTCAGCCGCTTCGATTAGGTAAGTATTTATGGTCACACTTGATATAGTTTTCATCGATGATCACGACTGTCTTCCCTAACAGTCCATAACAAACCATTGCAACGTGGCACTGGGAATCTCTGCTGGACAGCTTTAAATGGGACGAGCAGGTGAGTCTCCCGTACACTTCACTTCCATCACCCCAGCTATAATGGTAAGCTGCAGTCTTTGAGCGTGTGACAGAGGCATTGATTATAATAATTATAGATATAATTGCACGAATGGTACGAATGTTTTATAAAAGTTATTGTCAAATGGTATTAGTTTTACATAAGTATGTTTTCGATGGCCATTTGAAAAGAAAGAAAAATATATTAAAATTTTATTACGTTTTTTAGTTTTATTTGATAAGTAATGCTTAGTCAATAATAATCACGTGCGACAGGGACAATTATGATTGTTCTAAGCAAAACAGAAGCTCTTCTAATGTCGTGCTTGTCTATAAGAAAAATCAACATCATTTCGTGTGGTTTGCTGCTCCATTAGTACATCCTGCATGTCATATCTTCTTAGTGTTTTTTGTGTATCATTGAAATATAATATCTTGCAGGATTTGAAAAAAAAATAGAGAAAACAAAGCTATTTAATCTTGCACTGACTTTAAGTCGGTATGGGAGGATTTTATGATAGTGTGCATGACAAACCTAAGGATCCCACGTCAGCCCTAATCTCCTACTCTCTAAATTTGGAATGAGTTACTTTGGTTGTAGGATTTATGTGCTTACTTGTTGTATAGCACAAGAACAAGTTTGTTTCCTAACGTTAATATTGTTTTGTGCAGTTATGAGTACTGCTGAGTGCTCACACTTCTTAAACGTGTTATACGAACTTATCGGTGCTCATACACTCTTGAGTGTCTATACGCTCCACGGTGCTTCCCTCACACACTAAAGAGTGACAAGGAACCACGTAAAGGAGATCACACACTCTGAGTAGAAAGTCTACACAATTACTAAACATTATTAGTGGATTTGAATAAATTCAGCATATGTCCGACTACACCGAGAGTTGGCTTTATTCTCTCTATTAGGATTGAAATATTCTTGATACCAGAGTCTGATGGATTACAACCTTAATGACCTTAGAATAGTCGATTAATCTTAAATTTACCTTGGTTTATTGAGCGTTAGAAGTGGCTTAGACAGATACTTCACGAATGAAATTTCTGGGTGTAAACAGAACCTACCATGTACATTATAGTATGGTATAAACCTTGGTAATAAATACCGACAAGTTGGTTTAGAAAGACACGTAAGCAAACACTATAACATATTTATTAGAAAACGTTTCGGTCCTGGGACCTTGATCACTTCTAACATGTGTGATGAATGGTTTGAAAAACCGACAAGTTGAAGATTGAGACACTTATGCAGCATATGGGAATCTCTATTCAGGAAACGTTTCGCCACACAGTGGCTTCATCAGTCCAATACAAAGAGGAAGGCGTAAGGAGAGGAGGAGTAAGAGGTAATCAGTCCCTCAGCCTGGAGTCGATGTGTTCAGTCCATCAATCTTGTAGAATGTACATTCTACAAGATTGATGGACTGAACACATCGACTCCAGGCTGAGGGACTGATTACCTCATACTCCTCCTCTCCTTACGCCTTCCTCTTTGTATTGGACTAATGAAGCCACTGTGTGGCGAAACGTTTCCTGAATAAAGATTCCCATATGCTGCATAAGTGTCTCAATCTTCCACTTCTAACATACAGAGGTAGAAAGACATTACATATATAGGCGGAGAATGAGATGTGACGCACGTTATAGTATATCTGCTAATGTCTTCATTATCTTATACATCATTAGTAAGGCCTCACCTAGATTATGCAGCTCAGTTCTGGTCTCCATATTACAGAATGGACATAAATTCGTTAGAAAACATTCAGCGTAGAACGACCAAGTTAATACATAGCATTAGAAATCTTCTTTATGAAGAAAGATTGAAGACTCTTAAATTACATTCACTTGTTAGACGAAGAATGAGGGGAGACATGATCGAAATGTATAAGTGGAAGATAGGTATTAATAAAGGTGTTATAAATAAGGTCTTGAGGATATCTCTCCAAGAGAGAACCCGCAGTAATGGATTTAAATTAGACAAGTTCAGATTTAGAAAGGACATAGGAGAGTATTGGTTTGGAAATAGGGTAGTTGATGAGTGGAACAGTCTACCTAGTTGGGTTATTGAGGCTGGGACTTTGGGTAGTTTCAAATTTAGGTTGGATAAATTTATGAGGGGGAGGGGTTGGATTTGAGTGGGGCTTGCAAATGAGTTGATAGAGTTATCAGAGCTTATTTCTTGGGTAGCATTGAAAATTTGGTTGGGCAAATGTTTTGTTAGTGGGATGGATTGCAAAGGACCTGCCTAGTATGGGCCAACAGGCCTGCTGCAGTGATCCTCCTTTCTTATGTTCTTATGTTCTTATGTACTCATATGATATGACTTTTTAGTTATCTGATAATCGAATGCATTTTATTTAATCCATAAATGAAAGCTCAGTTTACTCAATCCCTCGCATTAGATTTAAGACCCATTTTTTTTTTGATCAACGTTAATGTGAAGATAACACAACCGTACTGACTTGCTGTCTTTTCCCCTTGCATCTCGGCGATGATCAGCGCACGGGTGTGGTAGCTGTGGCCCTGGTTACCCTGGTGGCCCTGGCAGCCGCAAGACACCAGTTCAGAGATCCCTACTACGCAGCAAGGCACCAGACCAAGGACCATGACCACACTGTAGGTGACGCTAGCGACTGCATAAATCAACATGCAACACAGCAAGAAACCGCTAGAGAAAGAACACGACGTTTTGTATTCACATCGATGGGTTCCGAAGCTTCAGTGGGTAAAGAAGGTGGATTTCGAGAAGCATATGGTACTGGAAGTGCATCAAGTGGTGGAGGTGGAGGAAGTGGTGGAGGGGGTGGAAGCGGTAGTGGTGAAGGATCAGGACACGCTGGAGGTTTTGGTTACGGTGGTGGTTACAGTGGCGATTCAACTAGTGGTGGAGGTGGTGGTGGTGGTGGAAGCAGTGGAACTGTAGGATCAGGGTTTGGTGAAGGTTTTGGCTCTGGTGGTGGTTTCATTGGTGTTGGTGGTAGTGATGGTAGAAGCAGTGGTGGTGGTGGAGGTGATGTTGGTGGTGGTTCCAGTGGGGGAGCCGGGGATGAATTCAGCAGTGGTTCAGGTGTTGCTTCTGCATTTGATTTCGGTACTACAAATTTAGATGGGGGTTCAGGTGGTGGTGGCTCAGGTGTTTTAAGTGGTTTTGGAGAAGGTGGTGGTGGTGGTAGTGTTAGTGGTAGTGGTAGTGGTGGGGGAGCCAGTGGTACATCAAGTACTGGTTCAGGTCTGGCTTCTGCCTTTGGTTACGGTAGTAACTTAATTGATTATGAAATCGGGGGTGTTAGTGGTGGCAGTGGTTCCAGAGATGGTGCCGGTGTTGAATTCAGTGGTCGTTCTGGATTTGGTTCTGGTTTTGGCTTCGGTGGAGGATCTGGTGGGGGTACTGACGGAAGTGGTGATGGAAGTGGTACAAGTATGGGAACTGAGAATAAAGAGGGAAGTGACAGTGAAACTGGAAGTGGGTTTGGAATAGAACTTGGGAAAGGAGAGGGAAGTGGCAGTGGGGTAGGAAGTGGGTTTGGAGTGGGATTTGGGAAAGGAGAGGGAAATGCCAGTGGAGTGGAAAATGGGTTTGGAATGGGAATTGGGAAAGGACAGGGAAGTAGCAGTGGAACAGAAAGTGGATTTGGAGTGGGAATTGGGAAAGGGGAGGGAAGAGGCAGTGGAACAGGACGTGGATTTGGAGTGGGAATTGGGAAAGGGGAGGGAAGAGGCAGTGGAACAGGACGTGGATTTGGAGTGGGAATTGGGAAAGGGGAAGGAAGTGGCAGTGGAACAGGACGTGGATTTGGAGTGGGAATTGGGAAAGGGGAGGGAAGTAGCATTGGAACAGGAAGTGGATTTGGAGTGGGAATTGGGAAAGGGGAGGGAAGTGGCAGTGGAACAGGAAGTGGATTTGGAGTGGGAATTGGGAAAGAGGAGGGAAGTGGCAGTGAAACAGGAAGTGGATTTGGAGTGGAAATTGGGAAAGGGGTGAGAAGTGGCAGTGGAACAGGAAGTGGATTTGGAGTGGGAATTGGGAAAGGGATGGGAAGTGGCAGTGGAACAGGAAGTGGTTTTGGAGTGGGAATTGGGAAAGGGGAGGGAAGTGACAGTGGAACAGGAAGTGGATTTGGAGCGGGAATTGAGAAAGGGGAGGGAAGAGGCAGTGGAACAGGAAGTGGATTTGGAGTGGGAATTGGGAAAGGGGAGGGAAGAGGCAGTGGAACAGGAAGTGGATTTGGAGTGGGATTTGGGAAAGGGGAGGGAAGTGGCAGTGGAACAGGAAGTGGATTTGGAATGGGAATTGGGAAAGGAGAGGGAAGTAGCAGTGGAACAGGAAGTGGATTTGGAGTGGGAATTGGAAAAAGGGTGGGAAGTGGCAGTGGAACAGGAAGAGGATTTGGAATAGAACTTGAGAAAGGAAAGGGAAGCGCCAGTGGAACAGGAAGTGAATTTGGAGTGGGAATTGAGAAAGGAGAGCGAAGTGACAGTGGAACAGGAAGTGGATTTGGAGTGGGAATTGGGAAAGGAGAGGGAAGTGATTGTGGAACAGGAAGTGGGTTCGGAGTGGGAATTGGCGAAGGTTTAGGAAGTGGCAGTGGTGTGGGAAGTGGGTTTGGAATGGGAATTGGGAAAGGAGAGGGAAGTGGAAGTGGAACAGGAAGTGGATTTGGAGTGGGAATTGGGAAAGGGAAGGGAAATGGCAGTGGCAGAGGAAGTGGGTTCGGAGTGGGAATTGGTGCTGGAATAGGAAGTGGAAGAGTTACTCCTGGTCCAAACAGACTCCAAGCCATGACAAACTCCAAGCTATTACCTCCCACGGAAAAGCCGGAGATGCCATCTATCGTTAAGCCAGTTTTGCCATCTATCGAAAAGCCAGTTTTGCCATCCATGGAAAAACCAGAAATGCCATCTATCTTTAAGCCAGTTTTGCCATCTATCCAAAAGCCAGTTTTGCCATCTATGGTAAAGCCAGAAATGCCTTCTATCGTTAAGCCAGTTTTGCCATCTATCGTTAAACCAGTTTTGCCATCGATCGAAAAGCCAGTCTTGCCATCTATGGTAAAGCCAGAAATGCCATCTATCGTTAATCCAGTTTTGCCACCTATCGTAAAGCCGCTCATGCCCCCTATCGCAATGCCAGTTATGCCACCTATCGTTAAGCCACTCATGCCTCCTATCGTAAAGCCAGTTTTACCTCCTATCGTACAACCGTCTTTGCCATTTATTGAACAGCAAAGACTGCCTCCTATCGTAAAGCCAGAAATGCCACCTGTTGTACAGCCGGCTTTGCCATCTATCATGCAGCCGGCTTTGCCATCTATCGTACAGCCAGTTTTCCCATCTATCGTAAAACCAGATATGCCACCTGTTGTACAGCCGGCTTTGCCATCTATCATGCAGCCGGCTTTGCCGTCTATCGAACAGCCAGTTTTACCATCTATCGTAAGGCCTGATTTGCCACCTGTTGTACAACCAACTTTGCCATCTATCAAACAGCCGGCTTTGCCATCTATCGTAAAGCCTCACTTGCCACCTGTTCTGCATCCGGCTTTGCCATCTATCGATCAGCCAGTTTTGCCATCTATCGTAAGGCCTGAGTTACCACCTGTTCTACAGCCTGCTTTGCCATCTATTGTACAGCCGACTTTGCCATCTGTCGTACAGCCAGTTTTGCCATCTATCGTAAGACCTGACTTGCCACCTGTTGTACAACCGGCTTTGCCATATATCGAACAGCCGGCTCTGCCATCTGTCGTAAGGCCTGATTTGCCACCTGTTGTACAACCGGCTTTGCCATATATCGAGCCGCCGGCTCTGCCATCTATCGTAAGACCTGGCTTACCGCCTGTTCTACAACCGGCTTTACCATCTATCGAACAGCCAGTTTTGCCATCTATCGTAAGGCCCGATTTGCCACCTGTTGTACAACCTACTTTGCCATCTATCGAACAGCCAGCTTTGCCATCTATCGTAAGGCCTGACTTACCGCCTGTTGTACAACCGGCTTTGCCATCTATCGAACAGCCAGTTTTGCCATCTATCGTAAGGCCTGATTTGCCACCTGTTGTACAACCGGTTTTGCCATATATCGAACAGCCGGCTCTGCCATCTATCGTAAGGCCTAACTTACCGCCTGTTCTACAACCGGCTTTGCCATCTATCGAACAGCCAGTTTTGCCATCTATCGTAAGGCCCGATTTGCCACCTGTTGTACAACCTACTTTGCCATCTATCGAGCAGCCAGCTTTGCCATCTATCGTAAGGCCTGACTTACCGCCTGTTCTACAACCGGCTTTGCCATCTATCGAAGAGCCAGCTTTGCCATCTATCGTAAGGCCTGACTTACCGCCTGTTCTACAACCGGCTTTGCCATCTATCGAACAGCCAGTTTTGCCATCTATCGTAAGGCCCGATTTGCCACCTGTTGTACAACCTACTTTGCCATCTATCGAACAGCCAGCTTTGCCATCTATCGTAAAGCCCGATTTGCCACCTGTTGTACAACCTACTTTGCCATCTATCGAACAGCCAGCTTTGCCATCTATCGTAAGGCCTAACTTACCGCCTGTTCTACAACCGGCTTTGCCATCTGACTATTTAGAGCCAGTGTTAGCGACTGGGGTTGCCAGAGAACACTATGTTGATGCAGCAGAAACAGAAGTATGTGGCTATGGAGAAGGAAGTGACAGTGATGTGGGAAGTGGCATAAGAATAGGAACTGGCAGTGATATAGGAAGTGGCAGCGGTGTGGGAAGTGGCATAGGAATAGGAATTGGCAATGTTATGGGAAGTGGCAGGGGTAGAGGAACTGGCAGTGGTATGGGAAGTGGCAGTGGTGTGGGAAGTGGTATAAGAATAGGAACTGGCAGTGGTATGGGAAGTGGCAGTGGTATGGGAAGTGGCACAGGAATAGGAATTGGCAATGTTATGGGAAGTGGCAGGGGTAGAGGAACTGGCAGTGGTATGGGAAGTGGCAGTGGTGTGGGAAGTGGCATAGGTATAGGAACTGGCAGTGGTATGGGAAGTGGCAGTGGTGTGGGGAGTGGCATAGGAATAGGAATTGGCAATATTATGGGAAGTGTCAGGGGTAGAGGAACTGGCAGTGGTACAGGAACTGTCAGTGGTGTAGAAAATGGCAGTGGTATGGGAAGTGGCATAGGAATAGGAATTGGCAGTGGTATGGGAAGTGTCAATGGTATGGGAAGTAGCAGGGGTGTGGGAAGTGGCACAAGAGTAGGAACTGGCAGTGGAATGGGAAGTGGCAGTGGTATGGGAAGTGGCAGTGGTATGGAAAGTGGCAGTGGTATGGGAAGTGGCAGTGGTATGGGAAGTGGCAGTGATATGGGAAGTGGCAGTGGTATGGGAAGTGGCAGTGGTATGGGAAGTGGCAGTGGTATGGGAAGTGGCAGTGGTATGGGAAGTGGCAGTGGTGTGGATGGTGTTGATGGATCAGAAGTAGGATTTGGTGTTGGAGGATCAGGAAGAAGATTTGATGATAGAGGATCAGAAGGAGGATTTGGTGGAGGAGGATCAGGAGGAGGATTTGGCGGTGGAGGATCAGGAGGAGGATTTGGTGATAGAGGATCAGAAGGAGGATTTGGTGGTGGACGATCAGGAGGAGGATTTGGTGCTGGTGGAGAACCAGGAGGAGGAATTGGCGGTGGAGGATCAGGCGAAGGATTTGGTGATATCGGATCAGAAGTAGGATTTAGTGGTGAAGGATCAGGAAGAGGATTTGGAGATGGAGGGCCAGTAGGATTTGGAGGTGGAGGAGGATCAGGAGAAAGATTTGGGGATGAAGGAGGGTTTGGAGGAAGATTTGGAGGTGGAGGAGGATCTGGAGGAAGATTTGGAGGTGGAGGAGATTCAGGAGGATTTGGAGGTGGAGGAGGATCAGGAGGAGGATTTGGAGGAGGACCAAGAGGAGGATTTGGAGGTGGAGGAGGATCAGGAGGAGGATTTGGAAGTGGAGGAGGATCAGGAGGAGGATTTGGAGGTGGAGGAGGATTTGGAGATGGTGGAGGATCAGGAGGAGGATTTGGAGGTGGAGGAGGATCAGGAGGAGTATTTGGAGGTGGAAGAGGATCAGGAGGAGGATTTGGAGATGGAGGAGGATCACGAGGAGGATCTGGAGGTGGAGGAGGATCACGAGGAGGATTTGGAGGTGGAGGAGGATCAGGAGGAGGATTTTGGGGTGGAAGAGGATCAGGAGGAGGATTTGGAGATGGTGGAGGATCAGGAGGAGGATTTGGAGGTGGAGGAGGATCAGGAGGAGTATTTGGAGGTGGAGGAGGATCAGGAGGAGGATTTGGAGATGGAGGAGGATCACGAGGAGGATCTGGAGGTGGAGGAGGATCACGAGGAGGATTTGGAGGTGGAGGAGGATCAGGAGGAGGATTTGGAGGTGGAAGAGGATCAGGAGGAGGATTTGGAGGTGGTGGAGGATCAGGAGGAGGATATTCCAGAGAAGTTAGAAGCGACATTCAGGCAAGCCTTCCAGTATCGGCTGACCGCTCCAACAACAAGGCTACACTTTGACATAGGTAAGAGTCGAGCAAACAGATGAATTTAAAATTGTAAGATATAAATGAATTTTTCCACTTGTCATTGTTACGAAGGTGATCATCAGGGATAAACTCTATAGTGAAACTGCTTAGTAAATGTTATTTTTACACTCACACGCACACACACTCACACACTCACACACACACACACTCACACACTCACACGCACACACACTCACACACTCACACACACACACACACACACTCACACACTCACACGCACACACACGATATGGCTCTTAGCCGAGGGAGAGAGTAAGCTTTGAATGAGTTCTGGAAAACATTCTACGACAGACAACTCGCTAGACTTGAGATACAACACGACTACTGGACTTCTTACCTTGATGACTATCAGACGCCTTTACAGTCTTGTTAATCTCTTCGGAGCTCTTTACAACCTATTCCTCCTCCTCGCTACACTTTTTTATTAACAGCCGTTTCCCACCAAGGCAGGGTGGCCCTAAAATGAAAAAAAATCATCATTCACTCTATCACTGTCTTGCCAGAGGCATGCTTACAGTACAGTTATAAAACTGTTAACACCACTCCTTCAGAGTGCAGGCACTGTACTTCCCATCTCCAGGACTCAAGTCCGGTCTGCCGGTTTCCCTGAATCCCTTCATAGATGTTACTTTGCTCACACTTCAACAGCACGTCAAGTATTAAAAACCACTTGTTTCCATTTGCTCCTATCTTACACGCTCACGCATGCTTGCTGGAAGTCCAAGCCCCTCGCACACAAAACCTCCTTTACCCCCTCCCTCAAACCTTCCCTAGGCCGATCCTTACCCTGCTTTCCCTCCACTACAGATTTATACACTCTCAAAGTCATTCTATTTCGTTCCACCCTCTCTACATGTCCAAACCATCTCAATAACCCTTCCTCAGCCCTGTGGATAATAGTTTTGGAAATCCCGCACATCCTCCTAATCTCCAAACTACGGATTCTCTGCATTATATTCACACCACACACACTGCCCTCAGATATGACATCTCCACTGCCTCCAGCCTTCTCCTTGTTACAACATTCACCACCCATGCCTCACACCCATACTAGAGCATTGGTATAACTAGACTCGCATACATTCCTCTCTTTGCTTTCATAGATCGAGTTCTTTGTCTTCTCAGATTCCTCGATGAACCGCTCACCTTTTTCCTCTCGTCAATTCTATGATTCCCCTTATCTTTCATAGACCCATCCGCTGACACGTCCACTCCCAAATATCTGAATACATTCACCTCCTCCATACTCTCTTCCTCCAATCTGATATCCAATCTTCCGTTACCCAAATTTTTGGTTATCCTCATCACCTTACTCTTCCCTATATTCACTTTTAATTTCCTTCTTTTACATACCCTACCAAACTCATCAATCAATCTCTGCAACTTCTCATCACTACCATTACTTATTTATTATTATTATTATTATTATTATTATTATTATTATTATTATTATTATTATTATTATTATTGTTACATCTGTTCAATTTAAAAATTAAATAATAATCATACTATTATTACTCAATCCTCATTATAATCAATATAATAATTATGGACATTTATTACTATAACTTTCAAAAATGATTTTCATTTCTCTCCTTAGACATAAACAAACACGAAATTCCTTCGGTGATGGCAAGCCATCATATACAGCACAGCATCTTTCATGCAACTCTACGGTTGAAATAAGCATCCTATAAGCCATCCCACCTCTGACAACAGCGTCCTTCAAGCCATCCTACGATTGACACAAGCATCCTTCACAATTTCAATCGGCAGGCACAAGCATTTTTTCAGGTCATTCTAAAATTAATGCAAGAAGCTTTCAAGATACCCTACGGCTGATGCAAGACTCCTCCAAAAAATCATGCAGCAGGCACAAGAAGCATCCTTCACATCATCCTACGGCTGATGCGAGCATTTCCCAAGCATCTTACTGCCTATCCTCTCAGGGTCCTATGTCCCTTCTCCTCTCCCCAACAGTTGGTTCCTTTCCTCATTCCAATGAATCTTATAATTGTTCAGTTTTCCTTGTCATTCATGTTCTCGTGCTTCAGTTTATATATATATATATATATATATATATATATATATATATATATATATATATATATATATATATTATATATATATATATATATTATATATATATATATATATATTATATATATATGTCGTGCCGAATAGGCAGAATTTGCGATCTTGGCTTAAATAGCAACGCTCATCTTGCTATATAGGACAAGCGAAAATTTGTGTATGCAATCATTTCGCAAAAATCATTCTGAACCTAATGAAAAAAATATATTTCATTGTGTTTGTTTAGTAATAAATTATTGTACACGTATTTAAAATATATTTAGTTGGGTTAGGCTAAAATAAATTGATCTTGTTATAATAAGGTTAGGTAAGTTTTCTAAGATTCTTTTGGTGCAAAATTAAATTTTTTTACATTAACATTAATGAAAAAAAATATATCTTTAAACGTTTAAGAGAAAATTTCAGAAAGGACTTAATTTTAAATGAGTTCTTGCTAATTGACCAGTTTTACACAATCGGCACGACATATTATATATATATATATATATATATATATATATATATATATATTATATATATATATATATATATATATATATATATATATATATATATATATGTAAAACAACCACTCTGAAAGAATAGAGAAATTCCAAGCGCTTTCGTGACTACTCACATTATCAAGGAACTATGTATATACGTATATATATATATATATATATATATATATATATATATATATTATATATATATATATATATATTATATATATATATATATATATATATATATATATACATATATATATATATGTATATATATATGTAATGTAATTCGTTGACGAACCACATGAATCCACTTATATATTTTAAATGTTAAAATATTAATAAATGTATACTTATTTATTAAAAAATGGATGCTATCATTACCCACAATCATTATCAAAGCTAATGTTTAGAAAAAAATATATTCACGTATGAACAGCTGCGACATTGAGTTTCTCTTGGCTTAGACGAAGACTTCCGTAATCTCCATTGTTGGAAAACTTTTTTTTCTTTCCAGTCATATGTATTGTTACATTAATCTTAGTGTTTGAAAGCTGAGTAAAACATGATCTCTAGGATCAGCCCTTTCAAGAAGGAAGGAGGGTGCCTTAATGTTGTTGAAGTGATCTTGATCCAGGGATCTATTACTAATCTACGATTTCTTTTTTTCAGATCTAATTACCGTACCTCCCATTGCCAGTGTGCTGTCTGACTCCTGTGAGTTTATGCTTCCTTATGAGTATAAATATGTGATGATGGTGGAGGCCGATCACGGTCCTGTGTAGTGGTTAGTTAGAATCTGTGGAGTAGTGGTTAATTAGAACCCATGTAGTGGTTAGTTAAATCTTAGGCGTAGGGTTTGTTAGACCGGGTGCTCTGATGACCAGTTTGATGCCACTGAATGGTCATTAAATAGAACTTGTGAATTGTTAGTTTCCGTGTAGTTGTTAGCACAACTTGTGATTCCATCTTAAGCATTTTGATGCTGTAGGTGGAATGTCAGCTTGTATTGTACTATTTGGGTGTTTCCTGAAATCGAGATGATCTATCTTGTTATGCCAGACCTTTTGTCAGTTGTTTGTGAGATACTAGACTTATTCCTGGTAACTTTTCTGAGTAGGGATTAAATTTCTTTCACAGCAGTATCCAGTGTTTTTCAGATGGTTAAAGGACATAGTACAGTTACTTACTTGTCAGGAGATTCGGCAGGTCATAACAAAGGCCAGCAGCTCCGCCAGAGTACCATGATTATCATCTGTAACGAGACTACCCAACATCCTGTAGATTTTTAAATATTACCATAGCCACAACTGCTACTCGATGCTTGTGTTGTTACAATGATCAACTCTCAGCCCACAGACAGTGCTAGTGACATCAACGTTAAAAAATAAGAAGGTCGACAGTTTTAGCGTTATCTTGCATAGACATAGACAGGACTCGCAGCAATGTATTTAAATTGGAAAAATTCAGATTCAGGAAGGATATAGGAAAGCACTGGTTTGGTAATAGAGTTGTGGATGAGTGGAACAAACTCCCGAGTACCGTCATAGAAGCTAAAACGTTGTCGAATCGAAGACGAAGAGAGCTGTCCCAAAGATGAGGGGGTACTTATACTTCCTCCCATGGGAGACTTAGGTCTCGAGACACTCCCCAGATAGGGAGCTAAGGCCGGGTCACCACTACTTGGAAAAGACCAGGGCCGGGAGAATACCGGCGAATAAAAAAAAAAAAAAAAGAGAGCTGTCGTGAGATGGGAAGGAAGAAGGATAAGGAAGGATGGAAATAGCTGGAAAATGATGGGAAGGAGGGGAAGAGGAGGAATCAAGGCAAGTGGCCCAACCACTTTGGGACATGTGGTACCGAAGTACTGGAGGTGTAGATGGAGAGGCTTGAATGATGTCGTTACTTGGCTCTCTAGGAGAGGATGGCGAATTCAGCGGCAGGAGCTGAGAGTGTCAGTAGGCAGCAAGCAGGATGAGTTAGTTATTCTCTTGATCTGGTTGTCAATGCTTTGAATTTTGTTCTAGAGAGTTGTGTCACACATATGGGAGAGCTGTAGGAGAGTTCGTTGGTTTGGAGTTGGTGGATTATCTGGTTGACGGTAGGGAATGGCTTTTCGTCGGTGGTGTACGTTGCAGTGTTGTCTTGGAGATGTTTGATGAGTTCTAGGCGAATCATTGGGCTGGGGTATTGTGTCATAGTGAAGAACATGAGTCCTTTGTGTTTAGCCCATAGTGTTCCAGGTAATCGTCGTGAGTGAGGTCGAGAAGGCGGTGGTGGAGTTGAGGAAGGTGGTGTTGATGGCGGAGGTAGGGTGTTGAGTGGTGTTGAAGGTGGAATTGAAGATTCGTTGTCATCTTCAATAGACGAATAGGAAGATGTTTCTGGTGGCAAGGC